ACCTCTAGGAAATAAGCAAACAGACTTTTATCCTGGGGGTCATGCTTTCCTTGCTTCCCCCAAAGTTCCATGTTTGGAAAATCATGAAACACTGTTTAAACTAGAATGATTTCCAGCACACCTTCTCAGTACTGCTGTTTTAAAGGTGGTTTAAAAAGTATAGGAGATAAGTTTGCCAAAAGAATCAGGTTCAACTAAGAAAATATGTACACTGCTTTGACTCAGTAAACTCATACTTGGTATGGTTCATCTTCTTCATATTTACTTTTGCCCATATTAGAAAACAATTAGCTTACTAAACAAATTTGAGTATTTGGGATAAAAAAATCTACTTTGAGTCTCTCTCATTTGACTAAGAATTACATGATATTTGATAAGCTTGTTTAAAAATGGACATATCCAAATATTATTGTAAACACCCATTGATTTGTTTTACCTGCAATATAAGTATTTTACTTAGTTGGCTTACATAGTAGCTAATAATATTTGTTAATGTAATTTAACTGCTGTGAACCTTTACTGAACAAATATTGAAATTTATACAAGTCAAAGAAAGAGAATCTCTAATGACTTTTGTAAAAGCTTCTATTTAATAGTTAAGGAGAAAAGTTTAGATGACATACCAGATGCAATTAACAGTAGATTTTACATTTAATAAAAAGAAAGAAGCATATGTATTTGCTTTATTCATTCCATCATAATTTGCATTAGAGCTGTGGGTGTTTAATGAGCAAATTCCAGCTAAAATGCTATATTGATTTTCTAAGTGAACTTTGTAATAGCTATCTACCTTACAAAAGCTCTCTGTTTACAATTGTTTTCTTTACTAAAAACTAAAAATGTTTTAGAATTGATGAGTTTAGCATAATGATTCTTTTAAAATAAAGAGCTCTTTTAGAGTATACAAGGGTTTTAGTTACGAGGAGAAAGATGTTATTAAATTATTAAAAAAATAAATTTTATACAACTAAACAGTGGTGCTGTACTTTTATATACTACAATATTTGCAAGCATGGGAAAATAATCCTTTTTTCTTAATTCAGTTCTCTGGTATTTAAATATTTTAACTCTTAAATGCCATTATAGATATATATATATGAAATAGTAAATTACACAATTCATTTTAGCTTAATACTAGACTTCTCATACTTCATTCTGTATGTAATTTTCTTACTTGAAATACGAATTCTGTATGAATTAGTGTCTCTTCTTGGTCAGGCTTCAGGACAGAAAGGGTAGGGGTGGTTGGTATGCCACTAAAACGTCTCCAAGGAAAACTTTGTAATATTGACCAGAGCAATTGGTGAAAAAGTAGCTGTATCTGTTTTTAATTTGGATCAGGCACCAAGTCAGTCTGGCAGTATGGAGTTAGTGTTTTGCTGGATATGTTATATCTTGAATGGAATTTAGAAGCATGACTTGGTGTTCCTCTCGATCAGTTTTCACCTCACATTTTGAAGAAGCATAGATATGATCTGGATAATATTTACTCTTTCTAATATGAAGGAATTTCATGTCACTCTTTCATAGACTCTAGCTGGACAGCTTATACATCACTCATTTTCCTAGATGTTTTTCTTTGCAAAATGTTTTTCTTTGCTGCTGCATTGAGACCTAAATGTGTATGCATTTCACTTATTTCAAGCATGCTGTGGTCCTTATGGTCCTGAACTTCTGCTTGTGACTCATCCAAAGCTCATTGTGAGTGGACAATGTTCAGACTACCTGCAATCACGTGATTGTCATAACATTCCCTATAGGAGGAAAAAAGGAATTTATAAAATGCTAAATAGAGGTCAGAAATGTATACCCATTGGGTAACAAAAACATCAAACCTAAATTCAACTTCAGCTGATGAAGCAATCAGGTGACTTAGTCTTCTGTAGACCATTAAAATGAGCTAGATGAGGTCTTTAAGTATTTTTTAAATAAGTAGTTTATTTTGGAAGTGTCAGTATTGCTATGTTGTATTCAAATGCCATATCTAAGTATCTTCTTTTTTTTTAAACTTAGATTACTATGCAAGCATCTCACATGGTTTTCTACAGTTTTCCTACCCTATTATATTTTAGTATTAAACAATTGACTTGCAATATTACTTTTAAGAAACAGAACCAAAAGCCAGATATTTGTAACTGATATAGAATGACCAAATATTTTTTTAATGCAGTGTGTGGATCTGGTCAGTGGGATATTTACACCAATGCTTTACTTTAGTGGAAGGATAAGAAAACAACAAGAAATGGTTGCTCAACTAAAGTTACTTTTCATAGCCGATAGTTAAAAGACTGTTTTGTAATAGACTTTTGGAAGGGGGAAGGGTTCACTGTTCAAAGGCAATTAGCATCTGAACTGCCTTCAGGGGTGGTAAGATTTCAGATAAGCAGGATACTTAAATAACTTGAAAAAAATTTTTTTTTCTGAATGCTTTCATACATGTACATTACTTTGGTTTAATTACAAAGAAGAAAAAATCTAGTTTTTAAAAGCCTTTATAGTCATTATTACCACTGGCCATATTTATGAAGAGAGGGACTTAGATATGCCAAAATATAGTTGCTCTACGTGTACATGTATGTTCAAGATCCATTGCAAGAGTCAACAAATTGTGGAATTTCATGCTGAGGTGAGGATGTTCTAAGGTCTGACAGAAGTGGTGCACTTGAACAGGCCAGAAAGAAGTTAGCTAGACTGGAAAATAATTAACCTCAGAATAGTAATAAGTGCCAAATCTTCAGTCATTTAGACAACTTTCAATTCATTACAGCAGTTGTTTTCAAGGTGAAAATTGCATAGTGTTTCCACTTGCGGCTTTATGGAAAGGGCTCCCTGTGAAGTGTCTCTGTTATGATGCTAGATAAACTGACATAATTTACTGGAAAAACCATAGCAAAAAAATATATTTAGGTACTGTTACCATTACAGAATCAAACTGCTTGTGTATTCCAGATCCAGTGAGGACATAGCAGTTGCACTGTAATTCACTCAGGCAGTCATTGCCCTGGCACTAGTTTCCCTGCCATCACACATCTCAGCAATCGAAGTGGAAGTCTGGTGAGCTGAAATGCACAGCCTAGGTTACCTCTTATGTTTTTATCTTTCCTTTGCTGAGCCACCTACCTTTGCAGATATCAGATGCCTTCTCTGCAAGTGCTGCAAACCTATTGCTGGATACCAGCCAGTGCAAATGCAGTGTCACAGCTGCCTTACTCCTGTCTTAGTTTTTCCATTCCACATCAAGCAAAGTTTTCTTGTTGCAAACAGGGAAAATAGATCTTCAAATAGATCTTCACTATTCTTCTGGATTAAAGAGAATTTAATCAGTGTTTGTTAATTTTTGCATACATTTCAAAATCTGTGCTTCTGATGCGGAATTTCTTTTGATGTTGTTGGGGCACAACTTCTTACACCTCTGACCTGGTGACTAGGCTTATAGCTCCTCTGCAGACTTTTTCTGAGGGGAGGGAGTGCACTTTCACAAGTAACATTTAGCCTTTCTCTTTATGATTTTGTGTAATGTGCTGTTAGCCTGCAACCTTTTGCTAGGCCTGCAAAAAATGCTTCCTTACTCCTCAGTGACAGTCTTCTCCCCAGCTTGAGGACAAGAAGATTCATTTTTTTCTTGGCACTGATAAAATGTATTTTGTGCCAGCAATATATCTGCTACAAGAATGTGCTGCTGTGTTTCTGCTTCATTCTGTGAAGAACAATATAATGTTTCATTATATGTTCACTATGAAGTTTTTTGTGCAATAATGTACAGAGGTGAAGTAAAAGTAAAATAATAAAGGGAAAAAAGTTAATGTCAATTTAGGTAAGAATGGAGGGACAAAAGCTCTAGGCTTTTAGTAAAAGTGAGGAAGTAAAGAGGGAGGAAGCCTTTCTTTGAGATCTTAATGACTTAAACAGTGGTTGAAAGAGGAGCAGATAGTTCTGAAGGGAGTGAGGAAGGCCAGCAGCAGTGCCTTAATATAAAAAGTTCTTGAGAAATAAATATAAAAATTTGAAAAACACTATAGTGTGGTGTTAGGAGACTGTGGCTATACCCCAGTTTGACAGACTAGAAGGGACAAGGAGGATGGAGAATTCAGGAACCTTCAGATCTAAATTAAGTTTTTTGAGGTTCCAGTGAGAGAGAATATAGTCTTGGAGTGACAGCAGTCTTACAGCGTCCAGAAAGTCCCTAGACGTTTTGAATGCATGGTTTTATGATGACTGTGAGGAGAGATTTGCAGTATTGCAGAGGGAAATGATGAAAGTATGAATAAAGATTTTAGTGGAGGCAGGGTCGAGGTAAGGATTCTGGCAGTGTGCCAGAAATGGTGTTAGACATATTGACAGGGGAGAGACAGGGAAAAATGTAAGCAGAGGATGAGGAATGACTTGAAGGTGTTAGTTTGCTCCTAAGGATAGACAGTAAATCTTAGTTTATTGGTACCTAATGCTCCAAGGTCCATGTATGCTGTAACAGATAATATAACAGTATATTACACAATAAAGTAAAGGCTTGGCAGAGAAGGAGAGATGCCAGCTGTGCCACTCTTGTGATACCAGAGACAGACTATAAAAATATTAGAATTTTTAATATCACTGTGCCACTCTTATAGGAAGCAGTCTGATGGTAGTAGTTTTAAGGTATGATTACTTTTAACTCTGTGTCCTAGAAGAAACTTGCTAGTGTCTTATATGATTCTGAGCTTTAATAATTACTTTTCAATTAAGCAAGTATTCAGAATGCCCAGCAAATCACTTTTCTTTCCCTGTTAAATTTTATAGAGGTGAATTTGAAAACACGTCGCTTTATTTAATACCTTAAAGTATTGACTGTAACAATTGACAGCAATTTAGTGTTGTGTCTAAGAGGTAATATAGACCTTATGCAGAATAATCCAAGGTCATTAGAGAAGTGTTGATTTTAGGAGCGGGTGGCAAAGGCCAACATAAGTGCATCTAATAGTGCTTTTCCCTGTCAGACTTGTTTGTTGAACACACTTTTGCAGCTCTGGTGGAAGAAGTTTATTCTGCTCAACGGGAACGTGATGAGGCTGTCATGGCAAGGCTTAGGTTGGCCAATGAAGAGAGAGATGAAGCATTTCTGCGAGTCCAGCGTTTAGAAGAGTCTCTCAAAGAGTAAGTATGCATGTCCTGCACCATGTAAAAAGGCTGTTGTGTCAGTCTGTGACAGTCATAAGCTGTTCAACAGTGGTTATAGGAAAATTTAGCACATTATTATCTGTGCAGTAAAATAGACTAGGGCTAGTCTTACTGTGTTATTGGTTAATTTGTTAGCTGTTTTATAAAACTGTATTTTTCTCTGGAGAATGAGAGAAGGTGAATAATTTTGATCGCAAAAATTAAAAATATAATCAAAATCTTCAGTATTGATTTATTGAGGGCGACTAAGATGAATGTGACATTTTATAGGGATCTTTTGACACAGAATACCAGAATGCCAGTCAAAAGTTGCAACATATAGGAAATCAATCAAGCCTTTAAGCCCACTAGACATTTTCTTCAGCAAAATTTCTATTAATTATATGGGTGACACAGTAAAAATATATGTTTTTTTTCCCCCTATCTTAAGTGTAGCAGCCGTTTGTACGGTAATAACGGTACAATTAATAGTTCATAGATTTTTATGCATGACATCTTAACACAACAGAAATAGGCAATCTTATATTAAACAGAACTAGATCGGGAGAAAATTATCAAGAGTGGTTTATTTCTCCCTTGGGATATAGGCAGCTTTGAAGCTACAGTTTGCTTCTCCATGGACAAGGCAATCTTTGTCCATCTGATTTGGGATGATCTTGGTGATCATTTTTGCTAGTCCCCAAAAGGGTGGTCCCACAAAGACTAGAGTGGCTGAGAAATTTCTCTTACTTGGCTTGGTGCAGTTGTTGGTTAACTAAATGAGAGGCAATTATGTTTTAATTAATTGATTCTACTAAGAACAGTCCTCTTTCGAGCAGAAAACCAGTAATCTTCTTTTGGGTATTTTTATAGTTCGGACCAGAGAATATTATCTAAATTAATTTCAATAATCTGCACATAGTTTTTCTACCATTACTCTGTAGAATTTACAAGTTAATAGCGTAATCTTGTATGTTCCAAGAGTAAAGTTTTGTATGGCTTCAAACATCATATGATCCTGTATATAAATAGTTAGCATAAACTCAAGATCTTTGATCTTAATGCACTCAAGTAATGCAGAAAATTAATTATTCTGGTCAACAAATTTGGTCAATGACTTGGGTTTCTAGCATATTACTACTTTTTCTGCAGTGGAATCCATAGACATATGGGTGGCAGTTCTTGACACACATGAATTCACTCAGAACACCTTAACTCGTTTGCCCTTCAAGCTCTTCTTGTCTGCTTCACTCATGTGCTTGAAAACTGACTTGGTTCTAAGCAAAAGTATGAGAAAAGAGAAGAAACTCCATTTTTCAAAGAAAATGCATAGTACCTTCCTCAAAAGCATGTCATTGCAGAAGGTGCTGGAAACACTGGTAATGCCAAGGTAGTACTTGTTCCCAGGAGAGCCAGTAACTCCCTTGACTGATAGTTTGAAGCCAAGCTATTATATTTTATTGCTATCATTTAGAGAACAGCAATTGTACTAGCTGTCATCGACTTGGGTGTTCTTTCCCATGCTTTGCAGAGAGGTCTGATACCCTGATGCCATTCACAGTCTTAGAACTGGTTTAGGAGATTTCCCTGTGGAGAACATCAGTTTTCTTTTCAAGCTACCACCCTTGATAGTTTCTTTTTTTCTAATGGTGGTTGTTCAAAAGGTCAGATTCCCTGTCTCAGATGCGGAGCGCAAAGAGGTTTTCGGTTTTTATAAAGAACTTTGGCTACTTGTGCCTCACTTATCAAGTTTTAAAGCACAGGTCACTCTTTCCGTCTGCTTTGGACTTACTCCAATCAGAGAACTTTACAAGAGTGCAATATTGAACAGCCTGCAACCTTTATTAAATGCTTTAATGCTTTCTTTAAATTAGCAACTGGAGCAGTTCTAATTTCATTATTTAACTGTAACAACCAAAATTCTTTCAGCCCTGTTGGCCCTATGGGTAATGTTATCGGAATGTGTTTAGAACTGGGGGAGGAGGAATCCTTGGTTATTGTTGTTTAAAATCATGAGGTTTTTATTCATTGTCTATGCACAGCACATAAGGAGACTTAACAGGGCAAATACACAGCTCTGGATGCTACTTTAAAAAAAATATTGTCAGCTAAGGAGGTGTTTGTATACCTAAAAACAGATCCCTTGTAGCAGTAAGATGCTGAAGGTATGCTTATGGCAGAAGTTAATGTTCTTTTTTCCACTCCCATTTCTCCCTAAGGTATCTTGCTTACCCAGCCTCTTGGTTGGCTGTGTGATTTTGTTGACCCCACACTTTTAGCAGTGTAGAAGTTCTCTGGAGAAGCTGGGTCAGTCCTGCCAATTTACTTTGACAAATACTGTTCTTTTCATTGTGAATACAAACGAGCTGGAGATCCATTTTTAAGTCCCAAATGAAGTGGTACTTAGAACAATGTGAAAACATAAAGCAGGATCTTAAACAGGATCTTAAAGCAGGATCTAAACCAAGGATCCAGACCTGAGAATTCATTATAATAATATAATAATTAATACTGTTATGTTTGTTATTTTTTTATTTGTGTTACCTTAGGAACACAAGTCAAATCCAACAAAGGTTAACTTTTATTTTGTTTAGTTCTGGTGCTGATTGAATATGTTGAAGTAGTTACGGCTTCTGAATGCCATATAAATATAACAGCTGTTATACACTGATAGTATATTCTGAAATAATTCTTTTTAATTTAAAAATTTCTATACTGGCTGATTTACTATGCCTTATGTACTGTTATCTGCAAAAACTAATGGAAATTGTGGTAGTGTGCTGTCAAGTGTTTTATAATGTGTTTCAGCTAAAATCATATCTTTGGAGCAGTACCTGTCACAGCACTGCTGAAGTGTTGCTGTGTAGAAGATGTTTAATAGTACTGTATCTGTCTTAAAATATCGTAGGCTACTTTTAGTAGGAGTCACCATTAAGTAAGTAGCAGTGGCGTGGTAAGGTAACTTTAATATGCTCATTTTTCCAGAAGACAGATCTCTGTCCATTTAACTAACCTTAGGTAAAATAAAATGTGTACTATCCCATTTATTAGATTTTTGTGCTATCACTTACTACTTTTACACAGCCAGTATTCTATGCTGTATGACTAAATTCCTCGTATCATCTTTGTATTTGACAGGTCAATATATGTTCTGTTGAAATAGAAAGGGAGGAAAGTGAAGGCAGGTTTGTTCCAGAATTAAATAAGGGCCTTGCCGAGAATTGGCTTAGCTTCCTATTTTATGCAAGATATAAAATCAAAATACTTTTAAAGTTACTTCAACTGGCTTGGGATTTTCCCCTCATTTTGGAAGAAAGAGGTGGAAAAAGAATTACTTAAAAATGAAAAAAACCCTATGAACAAAATTCATGCTCTGTTTCATTTGGGTGCTGTAAAAACAAAACAAAACAAAAAAAAGCCCAGCATGTAAAAGTTGTAAACCCAGAAATAAATAAAATAAAAGCATCAGTCATTTCTATCACTGGGGAACTTTTTTCATCTAAGCACATATGAACAATTGATCCTTGTAGTCATATATAGCAGTAAACATTAATAACTTAACAGTCTGAAGTCAGTGCTGAAGATATGGAGCATTATTGAAAGATGGAGTCGAGCAGGTGGCACTTTAATATGTTCAGTGTCATGGTTGACTCTAAAGACTAGTAGAATGAAATTACTTGAGGTTCTAAAGATTTAAAAAGCGAACTCATTTTGCTGCACTAAGGAAATGCTACTGATCAGGCTTTCTGTGTCCCTTTTTTCTAGGCTAGAAAATATTAACCCTGAAGAAAATGACATGGTAAGCCATTCTCTGAGGAGATTTCTTGATGTCAGTCTTATATCTTAGAGGCTTAAGTTCAATTGAGTGGGTTTCAAGAACTAAGATGTGGGAAAAAGAAGCATTGACACACTAATAATGTACATCTTTGCTGCAATATGAAAATTCAATAACTTCACTCAGTCAATTTACAATTCACATGTGCCTATTAATTAAAACCCTATATTAAATAAAATATATTAAAACTTCATGTCTGACTAACATATAATGCTGTTGGTAGACATTACAGGAATTACTGAACAGAATAAACAATGCAGACTCAGGGATAGATATACTGAAGAATGGAGCTATAATTCTGAACCGAATACACAGGACCAAAGAACGTAAAAAGAAAATAATAGCTGAGGAAATGAATGCAGTAATAGAACAACGGGATGCTGCTTTATCTCAAGTAAGTCTCTACAAGTAGATAATCACTCAGTAAAAAATTTATTTTTTTCTTTTTTTTTTTCCTTGGAGGGGGGCAGGGACTGGTTTACTTTCAGGGAAGAAAATTATTTTGTTTACTTTTCTCTCTTGAAAATTTCAAAGGAGAGCCCTTCTAGTAAATATCTGATTACTAATCAAGTTTTTCTTCATGGTAGTAGTGTCCATTAAAATGGCATCACTGTGGATTCTGAGAAAAGTTATGTTTGTATTTTTTGCACTTCATTACTATCTGTCTTCTTTTTAAAACACAATTGTTTTCAGTGAGTTGACGAATATAAAAAGCTATTAAGGGCTTAGTTTTGCAGTATTCTGTAATGGTGAAATGCATTGGATGACAGGTAACTGGGACAGAAGGATTTATAACGGGTTATGAGTAGCAAAAATATACATTAAAGGAAGGTAACAGTACCACATGCAACAATGCAAGCAGTTCCTCCCTTTGTTGCTTTACATTCAGGAGATAAAAATCAGCATGTGGTCCTTGACTCTCAAAGTCTTACCCATCTACTACGTGACTTGAAAGAATCTGTGTTCTTTTTTCTGCTCAGATCACTCATTGCCTGCAATTTCCTATTTTGAGAGAACAGTAATTGTCTTCATTCTCTTCACCATAAAGAGAGTTTCCTTGCTCGTCTCATCTCATGGAAGAGTTTTTCTGTTGTTTCTTTGGTTTGAGTTTACGTTTTTTACCCACCATTTTTAAACAGAATTTTAACTCAATAGGAATAAGTTGTAGGGAGGAACAGTCCAAGTAGGGTATATATCTCCTGAGAAAAGATCTTAGACTGGATGAAGCTCCTTATGCCAGGCAACAAATTTCATCTGACTCTTCCAATACTGAAAATTTTGATTTTTAATGTAAGTAACCAAAGTTGGCCCACTAATTGTAACTAATTTCTACTAGATTTAAAGTCAGGGTTGTGATCTTTAATGATATCAATAATGTTAATTGAATTTATATTCTATTGAGAAATCCTCTAATAAAACTGCCTCCTCTACAAACTTTGTGATTTTCACACTTTTTTCAGTGATTTTTTGCATTCTTTCCTACTTTAACCTTGAAACCCCCATCTGCCTGTTGCTTAAAATACTTTGTTTGTCTGTCAAGTATGTATTGCAAAAAAACATGGATGTATTATCTTAATGTATTATTATTACTTTCTCCATCTATTTTTTGCTTTTATAAAATTATTGCTGGGATGTTTCCCAGCTACAGCATCCAACAGCCCTTCCAAAAGTTTATGATCTTTCTTCTTGCACAGGGCCTTTAAAAAGCGAGCATTTTGTAACAGAAAAGCTTTCAGCAAAAAGGAAGGATCTCTTGATATTTTTGTTTTCATTATTTCAGTTTTTGATTCTTTGTTGAAGTGCATACTTGGACCATACGACTTCTATGAATGTCAGAAGACTTTCATTGTTGGGCATTTTAAGGACTAATATTTTCCAAGTAAACAGCTTGAAAATAAAGATAATAATTTTGGATAGTAATGGCTCAAGTGTCACCACTGGCAAAGCCATCTTTAGCTATATCAGCAAAAAGCACAGGTAATGTTAACTAGATAGTGCAGCTGAAAAAAAAAAATTATTAGAGTAATAAATCCTCACGAAATGAAGATATAAATATTTGATATTAAGCTGTAGTCCTATGGTATCACTAGCCATTTATACCACCATTGTTTTAAATTAATTGTTATTAATAAAACTATTTATCATGTGTTTTCAAATTTGTGATGTTTTTACAGCTGTTACTGTTGAATCTAGAAAATAGGTCCTTGGAATTGAAGCTACCTTTTCAACCTGTGTTTCTCACTTGATGATTCCTTGGGAATTCGTACCATACTTGAATTATTAGTAGTCTTTGGTTAGCATTGCAATAGCAGTAGTTATTACAGTGCTAACAGCAAGAACAATAGGAGAGGGATTCTACATTAGACCACAAAGGGACTAGATGTAATTCAGGGGATGTATATGCTTAGCATAACAAATGCAAATTATTGGAAGTTAGATCTGGGGTTGCCTCAGGCATTCATAAGAATGCAAGTTAAAATCTTTTTCTTTTTGTAGAAGTGACATCAAATATGAAGGGGGGAATTGAGAGCAGGTTGAGAAGAAGCAGAAATAGAGTAAACCATTAGCATGCTGTGACTGTCCTCTGGAAAATACATTAGTAAAATTCAGGGGTCACTGGGCAATGTAGGTTGAATGTTTCATGACACATGATGTTGCTTTGTTCCTGGTTGCTGTTGTGTAGTGCTGGAGACTGCACTCAACTTCATTTGAGTGACCACTATATCTGGTTCCATATGATAGAGAACTACCTACAAAATAACAGGAGTTTGGACTGACTGTGTTTAGTGAAGCTGCATTTATTACTTTTCACTGTGATTTTCGTCACAATAGCCTGGCATTTGGCAATTGAGCACAGTGAACATCAGTAGTGTCTAGCTTTTGGGGATTAACTTACAGGATTTCTGATTTTTCTGAGTAAGAAACAATAATGTGAAAACCTTCACAGCTCAAACACATTGCTTTGATTTCAAGTGAGGAATAGAGTACATTTCTAAAGAATGAATATTCTATAAACTATGCATTTCCTATTACCAGTAAATACTAATTACGTCCAGCTAGTCTTTTAAATTCAGTTTCATCATGGGTTTTTTTGGTAGCTATACTACTGAGCTGCATTTAATTGGACTGCAGTTGCAGCATACTCAGTGATTATCTAGTTGTCATTCTTCTGTTTGGATTTTATTTGAACAATTCTTTTATTCTTCAAAAAATGAAGAGCACTCTCCATGTCTTGGAAAGGCCATAAAAATGTTTTTTCTAGCTGTAACATCCAAGAACCTCTGTGTATTTTTTGAGATTTCCGGCATGAGCATTGCTTCTTTCTAGGAAGCAGATTGAGGCACTTCTATCTGTATTGAGCTGTGCGAGTATATGTAATCTCAGATCTTTCACTAGATTGCTGAGCAAATATGCAAACTACTTTTTGTATGTGTGAAAACAAATGACATGGTATAAACTCAAATATTTGATACTACTTTTAGTATGTATTTTCAAGTGAATAATAAACAAACAACTAAAGCATGGCTAAACATTGACATCCACCTTCTCCTGTATCAACCCCCTTAAAAAAACAAACTCAACAGTTTGGTTGTATTTGCTAAGATATGTTTGTTAGTGAACAGATATTGTGTGATACTGAGGATCTTCAGTGTGTTTTATGACTGATCCTCTGAAAGAAATAAAACATCATTTTCATGTCTGTAACATTCAGTTTTGTCTTAACCTATTCAAGGAAAAAAAATATTTTTCCAGTTGATAATAATACAATTTTAAACTTTCTTGAGAAATCTGTCTTGCTTGAGTAATCCAGTTTGTGACAGACACTTAGTAGAGATTCCATATGGCATAGTCACATTGTGTGATCCTCATAAAATACTCTAAAGAAGTGGTTTCCAGCAGGAGGCAATGCAGTACAATGTCTCAGCCACCTATGAGCCACATCACACCTTGTGGACAGGAATGTTAATATCATTACAGGGTTGGCAGCTGAAGACTTGAGTAAGTCATTACAATTACTTTTCTTCTGGTTTAGACAAGAAAGGGGACCTTTGAATTGGTACAGCTTGAAGGAAGTGATTTTTTAAAGCTCATTAAGAGATTAGGAGATTGTGTGTTTGATATGTTTCCAGTTCTAATTAATTCTGTAAGTGTGGGAGTTTTTTAATTGGTAACAGTCAGTTCTATATAGAGTTTTAAATATTAAAGGTATATATAATTTGCTGTTAAGGAATAGCAGTGGTTTCATGGCTGGCAAAGTATCATCTCTAGTACACTGATCTTGAAGCAATAGCATAACTGGCAAGCAAACCTGGTTTTACAGCTTTGAGTAGTTTGACCACATCCTGCTGTGCAGGAACATGCTTATGACTGTTCATGTAAAAAATTGGCAGGCACCCAGTTGCTCATCTGAAGCAAGTTAAAGAATCCTTCTCCATTTTGAGGCGCTGTTTGGCAGCAGGCAGCACTTTATCATCATTGAAAACAATGACGAGGTGCACTATGCTTGACTTCCCATAATTATCAGTTTCGACTAATGACTAATCACTGATAAATGTCTGTACTTACAGCAAGTCAGCTTCTTGCTAACTTTTATTTTTTTGTTTTTGTTCTGCTAAAGCAATTTTCCTCCTTTTATACCAAGTAGTATAAAGGAAAGTAGTGTTGTCCGTGATTTACAGAGCATTAGGGCATTCTCAGCACAGAAATGAATGGGTCTTACTGTGGTAGTAAACCCAAGAGTTATATGAAATGTAAAAACAAGAAATATAAATGAAAAAAAAATTTACAGATCTTGGACCCTTAATTTGGGAATACTCAGGTGGCAAGTTGCAATGCCTCATGACTCGGGACAGAGGTGATCCCTTTGCAAACTAAACCACAGTGTGGGGTGTTAATTTTTGTACTTTTAATTAGAAGTCTATTTTTATACTCTGTGTTTTGGTACCCTTTGGCACTTCTTGATTAAGAATGCTAATCAAGTTCTTGGCTGGCAGGAGTATATCTGACAGTATCCTCCTACCTACTCTCTCAAGGTACTTACCGTACTTTTCCCTTTGCCACTGATATTTGGGAACAGGAAAAGAAGAGATAGGATGCTGTATTAACTGTTGTTTATGAACCGGGCAGCTGCTGTTAGGTACTGATGATTTTGGTCATGAACTTATTTCAGGAGGAAAGTGAAAGTAAAGGGAATGTTTATTGTACTTAGAGGATCCAAGAACCATGCTTGTTCACTAATGACTGGATTCCTTTGGGAAGGCAACAGCAAGTTGATGTTGTTCTCATTTGCATCACTTTCTCTGAGAGGTAGCTGATAAACGGGCATGGAGAAATTCCTTGCCAGCAGGATGGTTGAACAGAGAGAGGACACCTGTCTGCAAGATACCCCTTTTT